CCCAGGAAGTGAATAGCAGGGGAAGTCTCATGTCCCTTGGGATGGCCCAAAACCAGTATGACTATGGAGGAAAAAACATGGACTGAGCTATCCAGGGTGCAGGACCCCAAACTGGAACTTCCCTTTCTGGGACCTTGTCTTGATCTTAAGATGTGGCAGTGGAAGATCTATAGGGAGATCGGAAGGATCTTGTAGGAGAGGCAGGTCCTTCCCCTTCTGAGCCTGCAGAAGATGACATAAAAGCCTATTCATGTTAGGGGGAAGATGGGGCATTCCCACAGGTGTTCTCAATGGTCTAAGGATGGGAGATAAGCCAGGGTCACTAGAAGAAAGAGGCCAAAATACTGAAGACAATGTCAGCACACTGTGCTGATGGCGGTATGTCGTTGGGCCGGGTGCAGCAGAGGAAAGTTAGGCAGGGAAAAAACAAAGGAGGGCCCTTGCCGCCAGGAAAGCCTGAGAGAGTAGAGGGCACCTCGGAAGAAGTTGTTGGTGCGGACAGAACCAATGGTGCCAGAGGGTCCAATGTAGTTGAAGGACCTAGTTGAAGCCCCAATAGAGCCATAGTCAATGGTGCTGCCTCTGACGGAACCAATGAGCACTTTGATTTGTGGAGGTTCGAACCAGCGCCAGGGGGCTTACTAGATAAGCATTTGGGAGAAGACCTGGCCTTGGAGGTCTTGTTGGGAGTCAATGTTTAGAACACTGACTCAGAGAGTGATGGGGAAGCCTGTTTATTTCTAAACTTATCTTTGGAGTCAGAAGAAGCTGGAGAAATGCTCCAAGTTGATCCAGAGTCCCTCGGGTCACAAGTGGGAGACAACTCAGACATAGGTCGTACCTCCTCCTTTGTGAGGTGAATCTTCAAGCAACAGTCTTTATTTCTTAGGTCAGGTCTACACTACAAACTTACATTAGTATAACTATGTTGCTCATGGGTGTGAAAAATCCACACCCCTGAGCGACGCAGTTATATTGATCTAATCCCCACTATAGACATAGCACTGCCTACGGGAGGGTTTCTCCCGTCGCCATAATCCACCTCTGTGAGAGGCGGTAACTAGCTACACCAATGGCAGAAGTTTTCCTGTCAGCATAGTAGTGTGTTCACTAAAGTAGTGCCCTTACTTTGGGTGGAAAAGGACTTACAAATAGGGCATTTGTCCCTCACAAATCAGACAATTCTTGTGTCCATCTGTGAGAGGGATAACAACCCTGCATGTGGCACATTGTTTAAAACCTGGGGATTTCTTCATAGTAAATACTCTAGTTACTAATAAAATTATATCTAAATAATTATACTATACAACACTACACTTATACTGTAACTGCAACAACTGAAGTATGTTGACTGAAGCTAAGGCTATGGACTAGTGAAAAGGATCTGAGAGGGAGGCAGCAGACACATCCCTTTTGTGCCCTCGCCTGAGAGCACAAGGACAGCAAGTGTGCATGTGCCACCTGCTGGTATGGCTGGCAAAAGCTGTCAACTCAAGTGCATTAGGTATACATACACTTTCAGTGGAATGTATGTGTGCACAATCACTTGAAGCTGGGAATGGGTGACAGGGGATGGATCACCTGATGACTACCTGTTCTGTTTATTCCCTCTGGGGCACCTGGCATTGGCCACTGTTGGAAGACAGGAGACTGGGCTAGATGGACCTTTGGTCTGACCCACTATGGCCATTCTTATGAAAGAGAACTCTGGAGAACTATGCCAGGACAGAAAGAAACAGGGCACAGCTGTTTGAGAGAGATTCTGCCACGAAAGCCTGTATACTGCACTAATCCATACTTTCAATGCCCTTTCCCCCCCACGCCCTCTAGTTATGTTTTATCTTTCTATGCTACTTTTTCTCCTAGTCTTATTTCCTATGGCAAATAAATGATGTTGTATTTAAAAGGTACTGGGATTGTTGACTGCCTTATTGAGGATACTTTCTTGCTGAGCACCCATGAAGACCCCAAGACAGGTGGGAACAGGAGAAAGATCATGGCCTCAGCACTTGTAAAAAGCTGGTCCTATTCTGAAAGTCTGCTGTTATGGCCCACACTCATCCCCAGAGAGCCCCCTCATGTCACAACACGGTGTTGCAGGGGTTCTTTCACTCTATTGCTCCCTTGTCCATCCATGGAACCGTCTGCCACTTCCATGGCCTAATTCTACAGCCAGGCCTCATCTCAGTCCATTCCCCTTCTGAGATGAACAGAAAAGTCAGACGTAAGAAAAAACAAAGTCTAGTGGTCCCTAAGCCCAACCCTTGGCCTCTGTCTGGAATACGGTGACCAGACAGCAAGTATGAAAAATCAGGACATTGTGTGTGTGTGGGGAAGGTAATAGGTGCCCATATAAGAAAAAGTCCCACATATCGGAACTGTTCCTATAAAATCATGACATCTGGTCACCCTAATCTGGAACATGTAGTTTTTGGTCTCTTCCACTCCTGACACCTGTACTTTTCCTCTTGATGTGGGGGAGAGATGGGAACCCCAATCCACCCTCTCCTCTGGGTGCTGATTTTAAGTGGCTAAGGCCTGTTCTGTCAATCCCCTTCACCACTTTCCAGGGCAGCTCCTACCTTAGCCCTGTTTGTCAGTGTCTTCACCAAGGGTAGCATTAGCAGAGGTCCATGGATTCACATGCACGTATAGCAATGAGGCCTGGCTTAACCAAGGCATCCTGGGTGCACTTGCACAAGGTCCCCAACTCAGGTTTGGTCATCATTGGGGAGGAGCAGCTGAGCCAAATTTGACAGAGTGGTGGTGTGACCTGGCACATGGGTTTGGAACATCACTAAGGTTTTGCCCCTGCCACTGATAGTGCAGGGAGTGATTTGTCTGCAACAGCCAAGCCGAAGTCCCATCATTGTGCCAGACTCAAGGGGATACAGGTCTGTCTCATCTTACGCTGGAGTTACGTTCCACAGTCAGCGCCTAAAGCGAAAATCACGTATAGTCAAAATTACATTGAGTGTAATGGCGGGTGGAATCACCCACACTACAGAAACAGTATTTAAATTATTTTTCTCTTTTTGTTTTTGCTGACCACGTAAAGCTGAAATCGCACATGTTAAATGCGCCTAAGATGCGACAGACTAGTATGTCAGGCTGAGAACCCAAAGGTAGGAAAGGGGTCAGGGATATCACTCCTAGTGGCAGCAGCATCAGAAAAGGCAAGACTAGGGGTTATCTCCCCCTCCCCCCCTGCAGGTTTGAGCCCTCTCTAAATGCCCCCCACCCTCTCCCTGGCCCCAGTATGCACCCACAAATGCAGAAGGTTACAGCTGCCCTGGGTCCTCACCAAGTCAGCAGACTACTACCCCATCATGGATCTGTAGCTTCTCAAGTGGTCTTAACCAACTACAGAGGCACTTTCTCAAAGCTGCTCCCAGCCCCTCTTGCAGCAGCTGGGCTTTATTTCACACAGCAGCTCTCTCACCTTCACCTTAAGGCAGTTGGTATTTTCCTCCTTCCCACAGGGGTCCCTTGGACTGGGACTGTATTTCAAGCAGTCTCTCTGCAGCTTACCGTAGGGTAGTCAGTATCTCCCTCCTTCAAACTGGAGATCCCCCCGGCACTGCTGCTTAGAGTCAGAAGAGGCTGGAGAAGCACTCCAAGTTGATCCAGACTCCCTTGGGTCACAATTGTGAGACAACTCAGACATAGGTTGAATCGCCTCCTTTGTGAGATGATACGGGTTTTCATCTCTTACAGGCAGAGATGGCCAACTCCAGGGCTTTAGCCAGCTTCTTCTTCAGCTGGCCTTTCCTCTGTCCCCAGCCCCCCACCCCCATGAACCCTCCTAATAAGAGGGCTAAGCAGGCACCCTTCTATTGCCAGTGTGGGCCCTACTATGAGAGAGGAGACAGCTTACAGGCAAGTCCCCCTCTGGAAGTTAATCCCCATGCTCTGAGAGAGGGGAGTCAGGCTTGGAAGCAGCTTCCTAATCATTAGGTAAGGGTGGGTGCCACAGCATGGTATCCAAGCAGTAAAGAAAAAAAAAACTAAAATCCAAGCTCTGTCTCCCCCAAGTCTGTTGTAGCTTCATAGTGACAACTCAGCAGCTGAAGTCTCTGAACACCAACATTCACTGTGGGATGAAAAATCCCCTCTTAAACTTTTAGAGCAGGGGTGGGCAAACCTTTTGGCCTGAGGGCCACATCAGGGTTCCAAAACTGTATGGAGGGCCAGGTAGGGAAGGCTGTACCTCCCCAAACCCTAACCGCCCCGCCTCCTCCTGGGACCCCCGCCCCCATCCAACCCCCCCCCCCCGTGCTACCTGACTGCCCCGACCCCTATCCATACCCCTGTCCCCTGACACGCCCCCCAGGAACCTCACCCCCTATCCAACCCCCCCCCCCCCAAAGCCCTTTCAGAATGCCACCCTGCGAACGTGGGCAGAGGACTCAGGACGAGCAGGGGTAGCCGTGCAGCCGGAGAGAAGTGGCAGGTTCCCCTTCAAAGTGCCGCTTCTCTCCGGCCAGCTGTGCGGCCGCCCGGTGCTCCTCCTGAGTCCTCCGGCCACGTTGGCCGCCCGCCTGCTCCCCTGAACCTGCAGGTGAGCATCTCTTCCTTCTCTTCCCATGCCCCCGCAGTGCAGCCCCCTCCCACACTGGCGTTGCGTCGCACTGAGGCTGCGGAGGAGGGGGACAGCAGGGGAGGGGCTAGGGCAAGCCTCCCCGGCCAGGAGCTCAAGGGCCAGGCCGGATGTGGCCCACCTCTGTTTTAGAGGAACAGATAGATAGTAGGAAAGAATCTCTGTCTGTAAGAGGTGAAAACCTATATCTTTACTTGGTTATGACACTAGGGGAGTAGAGTAAATCAAGTCCATCCAAGAAGGATATGGTTGTATTACTACAATTAGGAAACAGAAGCATTGAACATTCTGTATGAAAAGCAACTACAGCATCTGCTCAGTTTTAGCACTTTACTTGTTCTTCTAAGCTGTTCAAACAGGCATTTTGGTCGTAGCCCAATAAAAAAAAAATCAAGACAGATTTTTAGTATTACTACAAAATAATTTATTTGTCTTTCCTAAAGCATAAGAGCAGAGGACCATAATGTAAAAGCAAAACACATGAAGATCTACCCCTCTCTCATCAATGAAGAAAGCATCATCTTTGTATCCTTCTCACCAGGTCTCCTCCCTCTCCTAGGGTTTGGCAGATGCACTCTGAGCAACCTCCTCTCTCCAGCGAGCTTTTCTTTCCATGTTTTGGGTTGTAAGGGATTCATGTCTTCCGACAGCCTACAATAGTATGATAAAGGGAGAGTGAACATGTTACTTACTGTACTGTAGAGATGAAGTTTGAACTAGCAATGAACAAACCATCTGGTAGACTAAGGGAGCATTCTTCAGATATGTAGCTCACAGAGAAACAGCTCATGCCTAGATGCTCTTTTGTAACATGTCAGCTTTAATGCTAGGCAGAGCTAGGGGGTTAAAATAAATTCTGAAGGCACAAAATCCTAGAATTCTTTTGGTTTAAGTTCATTATTTCCTATGGGCTGAATTAAGCCAATATACTGATGGCTCTGGCAGATGCTTTCCCTTTTTCTATTCAATGGTAATAAGTTTCTCTTTTCCTCGAAAGCCAGGAGAATTTGGAAAACAAAGTAAAGGTAGATAGACCGTATTCCAGTAGCAACTGCTGCTATAGTTAAGAACGGCTTCCATTCTAATCCCCCTTCCCACTCACTCATAACTCTCCCAAACTTTCGCCTCTAGGGTTGAAACTGCCTTTGACTGGTGTAAGCATATCAGAACCACCTTTCTTAGGGATCTTTTAATTTTAATTGCTTAATTAAAGAAGCTAACCTGAAAGCTTTAAGGTCAGGGTTGACAAAGCCCTGGCTGGGATGATTTAGATGGGGACTGGAGTAGCTCCTGAGCTACCTTCCAACCCTGATATTCTAAGATTCTATGAAAGCTGAATTTTAATTTTTGGAGCGTTTTACTGAGTATTGTTAACAGAAGCAACTAATAATATTGGACAGCGGTAGTCTATTTTTTTGTCAAGGTCCAGATTTCTTGGTCATGGTATAGTCAAGATCCAGACCTCCCACACCCAGCTCCCCTCCCCTAGCCCCCGATTGCCCTCCCAAGCTTCCCCATCACTTGCCAGCTCCCTGCCCAGAAAGTATTTCCCTAAACTGAAAATGGGACACACAGGGCTGACCTGCACTCCCTAGCATTGCTGATTGCCCCCCCCAAATTCTTCCATGCTCCCAATTGAGTCAAGTAGCAGAGATGGGGGGGGGGAGGGGAAAAGGAATGGGTATGGGCTGGGATCTGGTCAGCAAAGCAGGGTGTCAGTATGTGAATACTTTTGAGCTCAGAGCCAGGAGGTGAAGCTGCTGGACTATGATCCAGCTAGCAGTGTGATGCCCCTTTGGGGGCTGGGACAGCAGAGGGGGAGGAAGGAGGTTCCAGGTAGCAGGAACCAGCAAGAAGACTCCAGATAGCAGCCCTGGGGAGATGTGGGGAGGACAGGATGTGGCACAAGTAGGTGACTGGAGGTGGACGGGGGAGGGAAAGAGGCCAGTGGGGGCAGGGTGACTGGAGAGGGCTCTGGGGATGAGAGGTTGGGAGGACATGAGGTCAGTGGGGCGGGGGGGGGTGGGAGTGGCGT